ACGGACTTTCACTGATCGGCCAGATTTCTTAAGATATTTAAGTCTATCATCCTCATTCGAGGTATTTTGCATGTCGTCGATTCCATCGCTAGCTTTTTCTGTAACTTTTGCTTTATCGAATATGGATCTAACTTGTGCTGCAACTACTGCCGACTCAGAGTCCGGAGTCATAGCAGTTCCATCGTCGATGGAGGAAATCTCGAATGGATATATACAGTATTGACGGAGATGTCAGTGGGAAGACGATACTCAGCATAGTCGGCAGCTTCTAAGGTGAATCGGCTCAAGCACCGGGCAGACTGGTAAATGAGTAGAAATTATTGGTCTACATTTATGCTTGAACTATTGCGCAAAATTTCAGACGGTTCAATGACCCATGCGAGACCTAGCTGGTGTTGCTGGTAACGTTGCCATCCAACTTAGGAATTGGCCAGGGTTTGGCATAGATCATCACTCGGCTATTTAATCTCGTAAGTTGTTACTTTGATACGGAGAATGATGATTGTATATTAGAGAGAGAGAAGAGATTTTCTCCCGTCCTACTAACGTACATATCCGTAACAGACAGTCACACACACACACAATGTAGGTCAGGGTTTATCCGTATGCATAGCCTTATGCAGTAACATAAATCTCAAGAATTTATGATATCCGTAACCACATGTGACCCTTTTTCTTCATTCCATTTATCGTGGCAATTGGGAGACTGCAGGACGGTGGGTGCCGGGTATTTTGCAGTCCCGTTATTAGGCCAATGTTAAAAGCGTCCACCTCATTGCATTCCCGCCATAATTACTGCAAATTTGATGTAAACCAGAAACACTGCCCCAGATCGTCACCGGCAGTCCCCAAATATGGCCTAGTGTTGCAATATCACGCCCGTGACTAGACGACGACATGGCGCTCTCAGCAACGGGAGTGTGGGTAGATTGATTCCACCCTCGCTGGTACTTGGTGTGTTTTTCTGTTTTTTTGTTTTTTTTGTTTTAACAATATAGTTACTCGTTGCAAAGGTTTGGAGAAGCAACAGCATAAACCACTAATAGGTATCTTTCGTAGGTAATGCGATAGAGTAGTACTTCAAAAGTGCGCATGCTGTTGCTTCTCCAAACCCCGGCAACGAGTATAGCGTTATAAAACATGAAGTGCATATGCTGGTGGATGTGGGATGAAAATTCGCTGTGCCAGGGGCAAAATTGGTAAACACAGACCTTGTAGGCGAGCCATCGGCCAGACTCCAACCGAGAATTCCAGTTTCCTCAATCCCAGGGGTCAGGCCCCGTTGTGGTGCACTCGGGGATGTTCACTATGGAACTATGGAAAGCGCCAGGGTATATAGCTGTCATCATAGCGGTGGAAGTCCAGACACCATGGCAACCGGGGGTAACTGCCTGCTGATCATGACTGGGCGACTTGGACAGAGTCAGGACTCTAGGTCACTAGAAGGAGTGGGCAATGTGATAAATTTGTGAAGGAGGCCGCTAGATATTAAACAACCAGATGAATAGTAACTGCAACCAGAACGGCGCTGACGGTATTTCGCAGGTAACAGACGATATTTTGAGTAGCAATCAACGAATTGTACGAAAAACTCGGCAATCCCAGCTGTCTTGCGAGCAACGAGGGTGGCAAGGAAAAATTGCCGCCATATTGCAAGGATATATGGAAATCCAATAGATATAACATAATCTCCGACTGCAAGCATGCCGCCCAACTTGCATAGACCGCAAACATTCATTGAGCCATCTCAAAACCAAATATTAAGGACGTAGATCAGTGCTAGGAAGATGGAAGTAGTCTGGGGAGCAGCCCTTAGCGAGTGGTTTTAAAAGTTCTGCAAACGACACCACCAATAAACGTTACGCATGACACCGACAACCCTTATGCACCAACCATTAGATATGTGCCTTTTCGACCAACAAAGCCTCTTTGAAAGTGTTCTTTACGCGGCTTAGCTAGAATGCCACCTCTTTCACCCCCGATTCACCACATGACGTCATGAATCAGACTTCCATCGGGGAGATATTTATATACCACTCGTTGTAATCTCTCTCATGTTCCTATTTAGGATGTTGCAGCATTGTTGCTTTCGGTACTTACCAAAACTGCCGTTTCTTCCCACTCTGAGCTCGGGCATGCTGCGCCATCGATCATATATACCCTGTTGATGAAATTTCTCGCCCCAAAGGGTCCAACAACTGAATACTCGACTGAATTTTGGAAGACGCCCGTATACAAGATTGCAGTCCCTATGAAAAACGACTCCTCATCAGAATCCGCTCCGAGGCTTCTCCGCTCTAGGCCTTCCGCGGATTTTTGCAGCCAGTACGTGGCTTGTATTGATAAAGAACACTTTAACAGATGCGGTTGACTCATGTCTAACCACCGATGCATCTAGAGTGCCCCTTGCGGAAATGGGCGCTCACACTGCTGGCCAGATAACAGATCGATTGTCGTCTCCGCATTTATACATTCTGCTCACTGTTCTGTCTCTTGCTAGGTTTGCTTGCAAACGGAATGTTGTCATAAATCGACACGCCGAGATATATGGATTTCATTTGGGGTGTAATATATGTTCGGCTTCCAATCACTTTGTATCAATCTTTTCCAATGGTGAAACTGGGTCGGCCAGTGAGCCGCATTCAGTGGTACATACGACCCCCACCACTTCCCTGCAGCAATGAATGCGGTGGAAAAAATAGCCATGCACAATTGACCGCATTCCACCACACTTTCACGACACTTTAATTTCTACGAAAACCTTTCTCAAGGCGGTTCTAGAAGCAAACCATCGTTCTTGCCAGCAAAAATTCAAAGTGAAAATTTTTGGGAACACGTCATGGATGATTAATGGGAAAACGAAATATCGAGGCTGCCAGAGGGCAGAAAAATCAGTTGTGTTGGCAATGCAAGGATCGTGTGTGGTTGCGCCACCGACGTAGCAAATGAACTTGAAAGTCGAGACCATGAATGGAGTCAGCACAGAAAAAAACAACCCATCACTTATGATAAACGATTCCCCAAGCTTTGTACGGCTGGTACGCATTCCGCAACGATCGACGGCAGGAAAAATGAAACATATGTCAGATACGTCACGCTCCAACGGTGCGCGAGGAGCATGTAAAGGGCATTTTGATATTATAGCGATCGGTACAGGAATTTCGAAGGGTCTAGACGTCTTCGGTATCAAGAGCTATGATTTATTCCAGTGAGAAACGAAGACTACAAACTAAACAACCGCACATGTTGAGGATTGGCTGGATTTTTCAGAAACCCCTCCCGATTTCAGAGGTTAAATAAAGTAAGTGACGCCATTGTTTGTTTTGTACTAATATCGAATAACAAAGAAAGCAGAAGGCACCACGATAGAAAAATCTTGGACGATTTGCGGTACTTAACCGAGAAAATTCATTGTCATATCCGTGGGAACTACAGAACAAAATTTCGCTACTACTGGCGCTGATGACGACCAAGAAATATACTACATCCACCCGTGGATCGAGCGAGGCGTCGATGGCCGACTATATCATAACATTACGGCCATCGAGTGAAGAAACACCGAACGATACTCTTTAAGATTACGACAGCATAGCAGGAAGGATCTATAATGAGATATCGTTGTGATATTACAGCAACTGAGTTTCCACCGCGCGTTCAATAATTTATGGGTACCGGCAGCTCCCTGCGGTGGATTGTTGAAAACATCCCGCTCGACAAAACGAAGGGTATTTGGCTAATAGATATTCCATCCTGTACGGGAACGGGAGGCTAACCAGGAGTTATAGCATTATGGGGGAGCAATCGCGGATGTTGGTTGTCTGGCAGCTAACATGTGTGTGTGTACTCACTAGATCTAGCGATGCGAAGATATCCTTCGAATGTCCGAACGAATAATCCATGTTCTAGTATACGGTACGAAAGAAATTAATCCTCATCGCCCCACGCAAGACGAATGGTGCATGGATTTCCTTCACTGGCCTACATGAGTACCTGAATGTACCCTTTCAGCACAAGGCTCTTTTCCGGTTCTGAAAGAGGTGCACACTCGGATATCAGAGATCTCTGATTAGCCCGACTGGCAAGTACGGCGTATGTCTACTAGGAGGCATTTGATTCTTGTCAATTCCATATATTTGCATACACCAAAGCTTTCACCGCAACTACGTTTTAGATATGCAGTTAGTGCTGCACTCTATTGATAGTCTGACATTATGCGTCCTAGTTGTTGCAGCTCCATAGAACAATTTCAAGTGCCGAGCTAAAGTCAAATAGGTCCATCGCACGACCATGGTCGCATACCAACAAGAATCCTATGAGACGGCGGCAATAAAGCGGTACGATCAGACCCTAGTGAGGCTCTGGCGACGGATCTCGTTGGTTGCATGAAGAGCTGATAAGAGCTGGGCAATCCGTGGGCTGCGAACATGAACAGTTCTTGCATTTTTCTGCTTTGAGAACTCGACCCGTCCAATATTGCCTCACATTACACTGAGCGCTGCCGCGAGTACATGCATTCAATTGGCTACTAATAGCGCTGATTGGGTGTGCCATCTTGATGGGCTTTTTGCAGTGTGTAACATGAGGCACGGGTAAGGGTTATGCATTAGCTTGATCCAAATATGCTCGGGAATGCTGTATGAGATACCGCTTGTTGCGTATGGGGCTAGATTTTCAGTGTGGAGGTTGGAGCTCCGCCAGATTTTCCGCCAAGATATGGCAGGTTGCCCTTCTGACGAGCATTATGGTAGTGTTAGCTCTAAAATTAATCTCCTACTGATACAAATATGCTAATATTTTAACTAGGCCAAGGTTCAATAACATTTCTGTCTGCCGTCAAGGACCTGTGAAGAATTTTGCCGGAAAATGTATAACATTGGACATCGTACAAGATACAGAACTAAAGACAACAACCGAAAACAAAACGATGCAAGCCATACAACACTAAATATCATTGAACCCTACAATAAAATAACAATCGATATCACATACATATGCAATCACCCAGCCACCTCACACGCATACTCGGTGCTGGGGTTTGGAGAAGCATCAGCATAAGCCACCGCCTTGTATCTTTCGCCGGTAATTTGGTATAGAGGTACTTCAAAAGTGCACGTGATGATGCTTCTCCAAGCCCCAGTACCGAGTACATAGAGACACCCCGTTCAAAGTTGGAACAACAACTATACTCGTACAGAGAGAGGTATGACGATACATAAGATGTGCAGAGCCACCAGCCAGAAACTTCCACCCGCAAAAAGAATGTATTTGATTTTATATCTCCCCAAACCAAGACCAGGAAACATCTCCCGGGAGTAACAGCGAGGAGTAACCGGCCCCATTCACGAGGCGTGCTTGAGAGTTGAAACAAACTCAATGCTTGATTCAGTACCCATTGGGGAGAGGAAAGGTACAATCGGTATGACCTGGGTTGACTGGCAATAGTCCAGTAGCCTCTACGAGAGACAACACATCATGTACATCCGACTTGATCTCGGCTTCACCCTCAGAGAAGTTGCGTGTTGATTTGTGCCAGAAGGGGCCTTCGATCAACGTCCAGTTGGCAAATTTCTCCCTCACATCCGGGCAGCCAAATATTGGGTCGTAGGTAATCAGCGGCTGTCCATAGGTATCGATCCAGTCGGAGGTGAAGCTTCGATCTTCCGTCAAGGGTTGATACCCACTTGCAGTTTTCCGCTCACTGAATTGACCATTCGCGTTGTTAGGTAGCCCAGCAATATCGACGGCACCCAGGCATGTCTTGTTGTCGGGATAGGAGAAAACTTCAGTTGCTGAATCGTCAATCACGGGTGAGCTTGTGGTGGTTGATTGCTTTCTGGTAGGGGGCCCTTCTTTTGCTTTGGGATTGTAACACGTGGGCGGATCGATCAGCACTCGTGTTGACCGAGCCACATGAGCGTCGATGATAGAAACTTGGGTAGGAGTGGAAGGCGAATCGTTTCGGTCAACATCGGAACCGAAGCTGGAAATATGAATCGAAGTCCCGCGCTCGGAAGGAACGTCGACATTTGCCGCATTGGGTGTTGGACTTTGCGAAGTAGTGTGCCGCATGGGATTCGTTATATCGAACGGTATTTGGGATGTCAATTGCTCAAACACGTCGCCGACGATTGCGCCCAGTATCGTGTCCTCGATCGAAGTTCCTCGGCCAGATAAGATGAGGAGGGTAGACAATGGAGGGTACCGGTTCTCAATGACACCTACGTAGGTGTAATAGTTGACGGCACTGATACGCAAATTGTTCGGAAGTTGTGTGATGATACGGAGAATGATGGGCAGCAGCAAAGCGAGTCACCACTGACAATTCGGAAATTCAGCGAAACAACTTCAAACAAGCATCAATATTGGGCGCGGAAGTTGCCTAATATATAGATATGTTACGTTCGCAATCACGGTCTGAGAAATCAACTGATATGATAGGAAACGGTAATGTTTTCTGTTGCATCACTCTGAGTCTGATGTTTGACCTTCGAATTAGAAGATCTTCCGCGGACTCGAACCCGGCAATAATACATTTCTGTCCTCCCTACAGGCCACTAGGTTACTGTGAGGCGGGACAGGATCGTTGAGTCCCAGCGATATCGGGTGGTGATCTAGCGAAAGGTTTTGCAGCGGAATCAAGGCGGGACCTAGGGCATCTAGGATACAGATCGAGGCCATTCCGTACATGTGGTTCATCCCACTTCCTTTCATCCGGTAGAATCTTTCTCAAGGTCAGACAAATTGATTGGATATGGTTCACACCACGTATCGCCTCGTTATTACACCCCTGGCAACTCTGCCTCTATACTGCTTCTGCCGGAAACGGATTAGGGCCGACGAATGGTTTTCCACAGGAATTGCCATCAACGTGGAGTAAAGACCCCATCAACAATATAGTGGCTACAGGGTTGAAGGATTGGAGTGGAAGCGCCATACAGCAGTCTCTAGGACGGATTGTTGGTACCTGGGCAGTCGAAGCTGCAAGCCTGAATCTACCAGGTATCAAAAACTGGGTTGAAGAAATCCGCCTTCACTCGTGCACGTTTGGTTCGCCGAAGATTAATCATCCTTGGTGTCACGGACGGGGTACAATCCGGACAAACTCGGTCGCAGAAGCAGAGTCAACTGGTACAAATGGTAACGGTTTATTGGAAGATGTAGCGTTCGTTCTGTCGGCTTTATTGAGCCTTTTTTGCGTACACTCGCTTCTGCATCAATGTTTTTTTGCAGTCGCAACGCCTGTACTTCTGACTGGAGCAGTGCAACTGTTTGTCCGGACAATATTGCTAGGTGCGATACTTTGAAATCCTGGCCACTCAAGTCAGTTCTAAAAGAATGCTGTGGTATGGAAATATCCATTACTTCTGCTTCACTGATTATGAAGAGGATTGTTCTAGAATTGCCCTTCGATGATGAACGGGGCGGATATTCCGATGATAGACATTGCTAGCGCATTGACTGCACTGCGCACGAATTATATACCTCTGAGAGCACGACTGAGCCCATCGATTCAAGGTGTTGCATCTCGATAAGGGCAACCTCTTTCTCGACTTTGGTGTGCGTAACGTCGAAACCTGCCAGTGAAATTGGTTCAATCCGTTATCATGTCTTCGACCAGTGATATGCGCATATTTTCAGTCCATCACACCAGATAAGTACGGTTGTTGAATTACTGTCAACAACATTAAACCACACAGCAGGCAAGTATCAGTAAACCGAGTTCCAAGCCACGAATACGCCATACTACCTAAGAAAAGGCGAACGGCTCTATTTCGCGTTGCATTATTTCGTCCTCTAACTTATACATTATGTCAAACTTGTAAATTGCTCGTTAACTGCTCTACTCTTGACACCGTTTGAGGTGACGGTCTGTTCGCCACAAGTAATACCTGATAACGTCCTGTATTATTAAGCCACCAAGATCTTGTGGTGCCAATATGAGTGCCTACCACTTTTTGACATCTTCCACCATCTTCATTTCTTTTCTCAAGCTGTCTTTGTTAGTTGCTGTTATCTGCACTAGCCGAAGATCCTCTTCACGACTAGGTTCTTGGGATCCATCGAGATGTAATACCGAGGACATTTTACGCTTTATTTCACAACTGTGGGCGGCCCATCTCAGACAAAGCGGGGTAACAGCTGCTTTTTCTGCTGCATAGAACGTTGAAGCGCCCTGCCCCCGCGCCCGATATCCCGACACCCGTTACTACCCCACGAAACAACTCCCGCCTGGATTCTGTTCGTCTGGAAGGCACGTCTGAAATTTGTCCACCGTGGCTACGACTAGTGGCAGGAGAATTATCTGGAATGTATCCAATAGTTTAAGATCATTATCTGATGGTGTCTAATTGCTTTTGTTTCCTCTTCCAGCCTCCTCTTCTTGCACTTGTTCTTTTTTCACCCCATCACACAAATGCCGGTGGTGTTCGGCAGTTATAAGTCGTTACAATAGTGAGCTAGGAATAGATTGTGTGCTGGTTTTAAGAAACGGTCGAAAACTTCTGTCTCTACTTGGAGTTTTCTCAAATTATGAGGCCATTTTCGATGAATTACGCTACAGAATTTGGAGTTCGATGGCAGCGTAGTTGGATACAAATCGCAGTTTAAAGGTGATGAATTTCTCGTGGTTGGAGTTGCCTCAATCCAACATCTGTCGTTTGTAACTTGGCTGCAAGTGCGCACTTGAGTGTGGGGGCACAGCGGTGTGTTATCTCAAGAAAGGCAGTATCGGTCGCCGGCGAGGTCCGGTTATTTGTGACTTCTGGTATGCAACTTTTGATAGCCCCAAGGCACCTTGCGGCTATCGAAAGTTGCATGTCGAGGAGGAATTCGGGATGAAGATTGATATTGGGGACTGAGCTAATATATGTCTATATACTTCTGCTATACACTCTACTCAGCCTCAAAGAGTCTGGAAAATATCAGCATGTGTATACAGCAGATGACAAACTGTTGCCTCGTCTTCGCTCAACACAATGTATTCACGAGAGTCCAATTGCAGCTGACCATGAGGCTACTACGTAGGCGATAATTCGTAACGAACCCTTCATTGCATACTTGAGGGTGTTGGCAATGCAGAAAGAATCATCCTAGGTATAATGTGATTAAGGTCAGCCGTGGAATTGCTTTTGGCCTGTGCTGCCTGTATAGCTGTTTTGGAAACGTGGATGCCTGATGGGTTTGAGGCTCTTCAACTTTCACTCTCTCCTGATCTCTTCAACGTCCTTTCTCCCAGATTGTCGTCTTGTCTACACTCACATTCTCGGAAGTCTGAATACCATGCTCTGAAGCGGCCATATGCCACAACTTCTGACGCACAACTATGAAAACGTACCGTCTTTTCACGGCTTATAACACATTTTTGCGGGCGGCCAGAGTTAAGGATTGCACAGCTCACCACCTCCTCTCCAAAACGACACTGCGACACCACTCAACAACCTTACGTGCCAGTTTTCGACAATTGTGAGGAAACATCAGACTTGTTACAGTACAGCAAACTAAATATAACATGGAGCTACGTATAATTTTTTGAATATACCAAAAGAACTTTCCCGTCAACGATCAATTGAAGAGCCGATGCCGAGTTACTGCTTATATTCGGACGTCCGAGATTAACGCACTGTATAGAGCCTCTCTGTCGTTTGCACAATCTCTCACCCTTCGTTTTTCAGAACTAAAACACAGTCATTGAGACCGCCGAAAATACAATCGCACGTTGCTACACTTCGTTCGGCGATTGATAACGAGATTGCTGGTCGGCATCCGCCAGGCCCCGTGGCACAGCCTACGCTCAGTTCAGGTATATTCGGAATGTGGAGTTGGATTCAAGACCTTAAAGCTAGAGAAAATCCTATCAAGAAGACAAAACCGGTTCCATTTCCCAACTCCAACACCGAAAGCTGCTGCTTGTACGACTTCGTTGCGAAGACGTTGCCATGATTCACAATAAGGGTCATGTAATCTTATGCTAGTTACTTTCGGACTGCGGTGTTATCCGGGCTAACTCGCCATTGTGCAAGAAATATCCTACCGCTTTGGAAAACACACAGGCTGCCCAGAACGCCCTGAAATGATACCATAGCGGTCCTTTCTTTACAGGGGTTAGAGCGTAGTCAATCTGGCATCTACAGTGTCTCCACACCCCGCTGTTTCTTACTAACGTACATCTGGTAAGTAGATTTGAAAACCTTTGTTCGACATATTGACTTGAAGACCTGGCATCAAGAAATCACGGTTTGGTGCACGTTCTGTGGCTAAAGTGCACGTGAAAAGTAAACGTATAGAGGAATACGTTTACTTTTCACGTGCACGTTAGCCACAGAACGTTATATCCTTTCATGGGTTAGGACATTATCTTTTTAGTAGTAGAGACGTTGTCCCTGAAGGCGTGTGCATGGGTAATGGCGGTGAATCATATGGTAGTACTCGGTTTGTGGTGGTAACGTTTTGTTCAAATAGTGATGCTAGAGAAGCTTGATTGTATTTCATTTAAGAAGGCTACAAGGCCATATATATATGCTCATACAAACACGAAGCGTACGTACTCATCTATGTATAGATCCGGCTGAATGCCATCAGCCCGACAGCAATCTCCGGCCATACGAGACTCATCTCCGGCCATACCAAGACGGAGACCTATATGCAATACGTTTGTTGCATTTTAATAGCGACAACCACGGCAATAGGCCCCGGCAGTATTATTATCCTATATATATACTTTGAACCTTTCCTCTTCTAAGTGTATCATAGACTCATACACGTCCATAGTTCTCTCAATTTTGCCACCAATGTTGCCACAGATTTAGCGTGACAATCAAGGTGATAGATACCTTCAAACTTTCGTAGAGCTGTCGATTGCTGAACTCCAGACATGCCGGTTGGCAGAGATTATCACACCGGGAATTGAATTTGGATATTACTCAATGTAACGTCTTGGGCTAAGTAAGGTCCGAAAACATACTTGTTTGTGTCACTCTAATCTAATCATATCAATCTCCAATCATATCAGTCATTCGTTCTTTGACATTGAATTAATGTTACTATGTATATACGAATAGATGCTTGATTGACTTGATTGTATCTACGAGGCCCTGAAGGCCCTATACATACAGTACTCCAGAGAGTAGGTGCATACAATAGATACGGCTGAGTATTGTACCTCGGAACTCGGACCTCGGCATGCACATGCACACATGCCTGAATGCCCTACAGAAGGCTGATCTACTAAGTATACATGAAATACTTCCCCCTCTTGCTATGGCCTGTAACAAGATTGAAATGACATAACAAAAC